CTAATATATTTAGTGTATTTAGCGTTAAAAGCGTTTTATTTAATTCCTTAGTAAACATAAAGTGACTTTAAAGTTGCAAAATGATAACCCTTTTACTGAGACTAGGTTGTACGAGTGGTACTCGTTTACTTTAAATAAAACACAAATAAATATTAAAAAATAAACAATAATCTTATTAGAAAAGCAGTTACCTGATACAAATTTCCATTTAAAACCATGAAAGTGTTTATATCTTTATGATAAAGTTGCAAGAGTCATCATTTAAAATCTTTAACTTTATTTTTTAGTAAAAGAGTTTTTGTTTTCCGACTGTTCTGTTTATCCTGTGCGATGGATGTATTATAGCAGAGGGTAATGAGTGCCGCGATGCGCTGTTTTGATTTAATGTCGGGTAATAATGGCAATCAATATGTGATTCCGTATCAGCGCCCGTAAAATTGTGCCGAAACTACCCATTAATTCAAATTTATTTTATTTACAAACTATAAGCAAAGAATATTTAACGAAAATCAATGTAGCGTACCGTAGACGTAGAAATGTTGATTAAGCTTAGAATAGCTAAGACTTAGCTTTGCAAGGTCAAATTACATTCTGTCGTGCTCGTTGGTGTATTGATAGGAATCAACGGGTCGTGGCTTCGATCCCCACCGGGTCCGGGTCACATTTTTTCTAATAAATTTATAATTTTTCTGAAATATGTTCAACTTCGTCTGAAAATGCGAATAATATATCAAACCGAATCTAAAATTTGCATTTATTTCGTACAACACAGGTAAATGAAAAATATAATTACAATACAATAATATAAAGAGATTAAATTAAATTTGACGAAAAAGAAAATAACGTAAAAAGGTGAGTACTGCATTTTACGCTGACGCATCTTGCATCTTTGCTGAGTTTCAGCAACCCCACTGGGCTGTTACACAGCGTATATACTAACATATTAAACAATCGCTTGCAATTTTAGTGCTCCGTTGTTTTATCAAATCATGATTAAACAGCGGTTGGATTGAATATTTCAGTAGTACAAAAAACATTTAGCCAAGTACATCTTAGCCACATTTCATCTGGCTCTTAAAACGGGGCCAACAGCCCGTAACACAATAAACCAATAAAAGCAGAATATAAATAAAAATAACTGCTCTGCTGTAAATAAGGAGTTCTAGCAAGTATATCAGGCTCAGGGTGACACGTCAGCTTTGAGTTATGGCGTCACACAACATAAAATATACGACAAAAACTGTTGTTCTTCCAACAGTTTTGCCCCATATTAAGAATGAGCGTAAACAGAACGCGGATTGGGAACAGGAGCGATTTGTATGATGGAGTCGCCTTGTTATATATTTTTATTAATAAATATAGACAATTTGGTAAGAGGGTACTGTGAATATAATATATAATATGTCTAATTACGTGAGTTTTTGAGATGTAGTCTATCGTAATAGGTTCTCGATGTTTAGATATCACGAGTGGATGACATTGACAGAAGATTTACGCACTTTTACAACTATCGATTTGGGAAAATGGCTGCGAAGCTTTATATTTTTTTATAGTGAATTTTGAGTTTTGTTTTTAATACTTTTGATATACTAAGTAACTAGTAAGTAACTTAAACATTTAAAGTATATACGTCTATCTATTAAATAACACATTTTAAAGTTATAATTTAGGATATGTTACTTAACGAATAGTTTTTGCAGTTTTTGCGTGTACCTAGACACTACTTACCAAGAATATGTGATGACTTAAAAAGAGATAACATTTATGTTATGATTATATAATATGGCAATATCACAACATTTTCAAAGCTTGAATTAAAAGATTTTTTTTAATGCAAATTTTTACCATAATTTTCTACCCTCAACATGAAATAAGCAAGGAATATTTTTTGTTTAACACGCTAAACGCCAGGGGCCCGTGCCTCACGTATGTCATATTCAAACTACTTTTTTTGGCGGCCGGGCCATACTGACTGTTACTTTATTCTACTCCGTGACGGCAGGGCTGTAGAACTATACTGCGCAGTGGGACAAACATACCTTGTAAGGAATTGAAAAAATGAAAGATAGCGAATAGTACCAAAATAAAAATTCTGGATATATAATTCAAATTAGTCTTTATTATTTAAACGAAAATTAGCATTCTTTTTTGTTTAAGGAAAAGTGAAATCGCCTCTCTACGCCTCCCTCTGTCCACCATCGTCCTCCAATTCAAGCGGGTCCGTGCAGTAATTCGTTATTTTTATTGTTTTTTGTTATTATCATGCCGTCCCCCGGATTACGGGTAAATGATACACGATGGCGCTGGATGCGGATAATTGCCGCGTTTTACATAAATTATAAGATTAAGGTGGAACACTGTATTATGAACACTATAATTCACTTTTCAGCTATTCCACGTCTCAGACGTGTCACTAAGTTGGAATAGCCACCCGTCGCTCAGCTATATACTTTGCCTATAAAGTATTAACGGTATAAAGATTTGCTAATAACAAAGCAAACACAGATTTTGGTTTAGTGTTATGGTTCATAGACCGAAACTTATTTGAAAGAATCCTTTACAGTACATATCAACGTATTCGTTAGTAACTTTAATTGATGACGGTCAAAACCTAACTTTGTCATGGCAGTTATAAGCATAATATGAATATTACAATTGATTTTAAATAAAATGACTAGCTGTGCCCGCGTCTTTGTCCGCGTAGAATAAGCGTATTGGGCATTATATTATTTACTTTTTCAAACAACTTCCTCAGCTTTTTAATTTATAGCTATTATCCACGAAGTCGTCCGCGTCCTTCTTGCGATATTAAAAAATAGACATATACTATCGCGGACATTTTTTTTAATTAAGGAAGAATCAGTATTCCGTACAATATGAATTATTTTTAATATAATATGTATAGTGTTGTTTTCTGAAATAGTTATCGCAGGTCACGCAACGGAGACCCTAAAAGACAAATAAATCCTTTTTTTTCCAAATTTCACTCTGTTTATTAGTCGCAGACTAATGTTTAATAGCCTAAGGCCTACCTTGACAAATAGTCCTAGCAACACAAAAAGATTTTGTCAATTTAAACCAAGTCCTGAGATTAACGCGTTCAAACAAATAAACTCAAACTTCAGTTGTGTAATACTAGTATAGATCTATCTCCCACGGGATGTATAATTTACAAATTTAAATCATTTTAAATTAAACTGCATTCCCACTGATATGAATCACAGGCCACAACTTGTTCGATTCAATTATCAAAATTTTACAAAGCAAAAGTTCCCGTTTGAAAATCATATAATTAGCAACTGACGCTGACATTCCACCGGCCTTTGTAAACCTGCTAATTAATGTAATACCAGTAAATTTATATGTTTATATATTTCAGAAAGAATCATGCATCAGAAACTAGCGGTATCAGCGACTTTGTCCGCGTAGAAAAGTTATTTAAGCTGTCACCCATGACGTCGTCCGCGTCCCATAGTTCTTGCAAGTTAATCTTATAATATATACTGTCGTGCACATTTTTTAGATCGTTTAAAGATCAATGTATAATTTTCTAAAAAATGTGGGTTGTCGTCTGGACATTTGGATATTAAACGGGTAGAACAGGGTCCACAAATGAAAAACTCTGAAGTTTAATCGCGTTTAATTATAATTCGGTGGATTTCCCAATGTCCAAAACCAAAAAAAGCCCAATTTTCAATGTCGAAAGTCGCAATAAATAAATAAAATCTTGTTTAGATGACATCAAGTAAAAGTCATGTTTATTTGTCGTCTACTTTCTCCAAAAATATAGACTATAACAATGTATTGTCTAAGAAAATTTATTTTATCAGTCTGGAGTTGAAGACATGTCGGAGATCGTGTTTAGCCGTCGGTCCAAGTTATTATTAGTAATTTAGTAATTGATTGTTGCTCACCATCGTGGATTTTGCTTTTAAAACATTGCATATTAAACAGAAAGAGGCCTTTGGTCCATCAGACCTATATCTACTTATTTACGAATTAAATCTAGTACGACGTTTCTTTTCGAATAAAATACAATTATTTTTTTTAATGGCTTACTGTCATTAAAACCTTTAATTTTCAATTTTGTAAAGACATTAAAAACATTTTTTTAGGGTTTAAAACGCGAAACTTTAATTCAAGTACGACTCGACGTATCGCATGTTTTTAACACCCATGTACGGGTGCTTACTATTGTTTACTACTCAGATAAACCACAGACAATATGATATATGTCTTTTTTATTTTATTATTTATTATGTTAATGCAATAACGGGGATTTTGTTTTTTTTTAACATTTACTTACACCCACTAACACATATACACTATACATATATTGATATGTTTAAAATATTATATATTGCATAAAGCTGGCGTGATTAAAATATTAATTACCGTCATATTTTTCAGAACGCTAAGGCTAACTATAACACGCAATTTTAATAATCGATTAAGGTTGTCTAGCTTAGTGTAAAACGAATTATTACGACGAAGACAGACAACATTCATGCACAGACTAAGCATGACAAGACATGTTAAAAAGAATTAAGGGAAATTATGGATTCTTTTATTGAATTATTATTTTGTTTTTTTACCGAGATTCGAACCTTAACTCTCATTAGTGCGTTAGTCGTTAAAACATTAGACCTTTTGTTTTATGTATTAATTTTCTTTTATGATAACTAAATTCGCTTAAATAGTACTGAGTACGATAAAGGATTTATGTTATATATGGGATTATAGACCTTATAACTCATACAAATTATGTCTATATCTATCTTGTCGGTATTTCTCTAGTAAATTAATATACTTGTCATAAATACGTATTGACAATATTGACTGTTTTCTCTTAATATTTTTAATTGAGTAAACAAAATAATAAGTAGGGAAAAATTAACTGAATCATTTCTATAAAAAAAGAAGTGAGGGTATACTCAAGCGACGCGAAATATTAAGATACCGACAGTTGCGCACGAGTGACGACGACAGACACTTGTATCATGAATTCAATAGTGGATATAGATGACATACTCTCTGAGAACGACCAGTGGAAGAAACTAGAAGAAGAATGGGGCAACCCTATCGACCTAGAAGTGGAGACGGAGGAAGACCAGCCCCAAATTACCCGAGTCATCAGCTGTCTAGATCTTAAAACAACATTTGACTCGTCGTTTCTGTTCAAGAAGGTCCGGCGTAATTTAGGAAGACAGCTGTCAAAGAAGTCTACAGCATCAGCGTTGGAGTATAATGAATTCATCAGTGACCTTCGGCCTAGCAGGGAATCTTCTCAGCACTTCTTCAACATTGTATCCACAGCATCTCTTGACGAAATCTGTAGAAAGATCGACGATATATTCAAATCTATCGACAAACTATCAACATGCAGCATGAAACGGAAACTTCCAGAAGTAGTCGACTGCAGCATATCAGCTACAGATCTATCGTTTGATGATACAGTACAGGATAGCTACAGTAGCGAGATAGACAGACACATGGAGGAGGCCTTTCAGGAGTTAAGCAGCATTAAAGGTGCAGAACAAATAGACCAGTCCACGCTCGAGTCGGTGACGACGATGGTGAGGAAATTTAGCAGAATTCTGGAACATCCGATTATGAAATGTAGTAGGCGTAGGCAAAGACAGTGTAGTGACAAGTTTAAAGATTTAGCTGAGTTTTGGAATAGTCGAGCGTTTAAAAAGTAGTGATACAAAATAAAATTACTCTAAAAGTGAGTGTGAAGTGGCAAATAATTACATACGTTAAACACTGTCTCTAATTTACGCAAATAGTACACATTTGAATTAAACACTTTAACGGTTTAAAACGCGATATATATTAGTTAACCACCCTAAAACACCACGCCTGCTGCAAAGCGTCCGAAACGTCGGGCAGTAGTTTAAAAAAATCAAATTAGTTTAACTGGTATATATCGCGTTTTAAAGCGTTAAGATGTTTTATTTAAATAACATTCGTTTATAAAACGGTTGTGTTACGATTTACTCGTAATTTTATTAATAAGTTTTGTTATTAGTATTTAGTTGTGCTCACTGAACTGAATTAATTAAAATTGACTAAGCCTATGTTTTTGTAAACCAAATCTAATGCTTAATTTACATGCATTCGTAAATTTATCATGTATCGGACAAGGCAAGTTTTAATTGTTATTATAATAAGAGTGATTAAACCATAATAAAACAAAAGTCGTTCTCTTTCATTTCTCACTGTTTCTGTGTTAAAGTGTTATTAAAGTAAAATAAGGTAAATAAGTGTTACGTAAACTTAATTTATATTTACGTGTTTACATATGGAGCGAACACATTTCTGTGTCTGTTTCACTGACGAGCTCTATTTACAGACAGTATTTGATCACACTTTTGTGCCCTAAGTGTTTATATACCCACATAAATAAATAGAAAAAAATCAAATGTAGGTACTGAAATGCCCTTATGAACGACAATACAATTCTAAAATAAAAACAGAAGGTGTCATTTCTAATGAACCTAAACAGTCGGTCAAATAATATCTTTCAGTAAATAACACAAACAGATAAGGTAAATAAGCTACCTATTAGTTAATTACCTGAACAACAACAAATAGAAATTCATGGTTCATTAGCGACAGAAGCATGGCTGGGTTCCGTAGCTCGTCCATGGTCCAAGTTGGACGCTAAATCACTGCTGGTGCCTGCGGACCTCTCAGTGGAACACACGGCACGGTATAAACAAGTAAATCGCATCGTTTTTTATCTCTCCTTTTCTTTCTTCCAAGACTGCGTAAGCGGCCGTCGGGATCCCCGCGAGCACTTAGGTGCACTCAGCATTTCTGTCTCGCCATCTGTTCAAGGATATAATCCTTGGATAGAGAATCGGAAGAAGATAGGATTATTATGCTTACGAAATAATGAGGCTTAATACATTCATATACAACATTTCATTCACTTAAAAAAATATTGTTTGCATTTAAAAAACTGATAAAAGTGAAGCCTTAATCCTAAAACAGGTTACTGTTCTATATTTTTATTTAGGTGCGTTAAACATAAGCTTAGACAGTTAATTAACGGCAAAAAATATATGTTATTTTAACACAATTACTCTTTAAATAAAACACTTTAACGGTTTAAAATGCGATATATTAGTTAAACTTATTTGGAAATGCCATTATATTATTACTGTGTATAGATTACGCGAGTAGTACACATTTAATTAAAACACTTTAACCACCGTGACCACGGCTACTGCAAAGCATCCGAAACGTCAGGCTGAAGTTAAAAATCATTGTCAAATAAGTTTAACTAACATATCGCGTTTAGAACCGTTAAAGTGTTTTATTTAAACTTACAGATAATTTAAACAGCACTGCTTGGCAACACTGTATTTATTCAGCCCGTTGTATTATAAAATCTCTCTCTGTATCTCTACCAATCCACTACCTAAAATACCTGCACATAAAAATTACCTAATAATAATGACATTAATAAATAAAAAAATACCTACAACCTAGTTGTCGTGATCATCGGCATCGCCGTCTTTAATATCGCTCCGTGTGTTTTCAATATCCCGCGCACTGACCGTAAGCATAAACTTATTCGTGTTCATGAGAGTTGGACACTTTGTCAATTTATGAGCAGCACAATAGCCGTAGCGATACGTGAAGGCAGATCTGCTTAATTGAGTTACTGGCTTATGGGCTGAGGATGCAGCTAAGAATTATGGCTGGTTAGAGGTAACAGCGACGTACCCGAAGTCTCTGCTTCGGTAAAACTTGTTTATATCAGAATTAGACATTAATAACGACTACAAGTGTTATCGACTTTTGTTTTTAAAAAAGCACCTTCAATATTATCTTTGTTTTTTGTTAGAATTAGTAGTAAAAGTTTAAAATAAAAGTGCACAAATAGAAATGTACCCTAAACTGCAAGTCGAGTGTATTATAAAATGACGACATAATTCGATGGTCTTGTTGGTCAAATGGTAGGACGGTGTGAATTATAATCAACGAGTTGATGGTTTGATTACTATCGGGTCCAATATGGTTCTAATCGATTTATATGATAGATGTTGATTGTACTCGTGACTGATTGTAGACTTCGTCAAGAAATCTAAATATTAAATGGATGGTAAGAATATCGAAATTCCATCCAGGTCACGAACGACCGTTTACTGGTGAAAAGAGCCATCGAGTTTAATCGAGTTACGGTTTCAGTGTAGATTTGCAAAAGAATATGTAAAGCGAAAAAAGGGCGACAACGCATCTTCTTTATATGCTATATGGCTAATATATTTCACCTAAAATCACTTTCAACTTCATGTTTGTCTACCCTCCTCTTTCATAAAAAATATACCTAGTGCCCGTAAGCGCTGCTTAACCTTTTAAAACCGTTGTTGATCCAATATTCAAGAAATAAACCGCGACCTTGCTTAATTTTCTACCCTCCAATTTCTCCACAACCATCCAATGCTCAACAATTCCGTTCTAACCATCGAGAGGTATCAAAAAATGTTAATTGATTTTTTCACGGGCCATGCGTCAAGCGCGATCACAAATGGCTTACGCCACCATATTGAATTAGTGCGTGGACGAAGCCGCTGACCGCGGAGAGGGAAAACTATGGAGTAGATGTAACAATATTTTTATTCTTTGATATTTGTTGATATCGATAATTCTTCTAATTAACTGTTCTTTATCTTAAAAGTCAACAGCTCAAAATCAATTAGAATAAAAATAAATAAAAGGTAATCATGCGTGTATTACGTCGATTTAACGATGTTGAATTAATCATACGGTATGTTATATTTGAATTTATATTTCTATAGTTTTTCGAGTTGTTAGTTTTCCATTTAATTATAAAATAAATAATAAATTGAACTCATGTTAAAGTTTTAGTTTTCTATCTAAATCACAAATATTTTTTTTGCTGCATACAATATCTTTTGAAACTTTTAAGCAAGTTAATCATGTAATATTAATTTTAATTTGTTAAATAATTTGTAAGTCAATAATGAAATACTGTCTATAGTTTACGCGAGTAGTACACATTTAAATAAAACACTTTAATGGTTTAAAACGCGATATGTTAGTTAAACTTATTTGAAGTTTAACTAATATATCGCGTTTTAAACCGTTAAAGTGTTCTATTTAAAAGTCAATAATGAAATTATACAAACAATATATTTTTTTAAATATTTATATATTTTTCTTATTTACTCGCAAATAACACCTACTCTGCAGCTTTCTCTAACCTAGTGATGCTCACTCATAAAATTAATTAAAAATCACTTCTCTCTGGCGATTTCGTGCAAATTGATTGAGAGCGGTGTACGCTGACGTTACTAATGGAGTGACGATGTTGCCACTTTTTTACGCACGTAATTTTTTAAGTTCTTCCATAATCGAGTGTCATTAAGATATAATGGAAGGTATGTCTTGTAATATTAATGTAATTATTACGCCATTCTTTTGAAAGCCGCCAGAAACAGTAGTTAAGGGTATTCGGCAGGTCCTGAGTTCAAATCCCGAGAAAAGATATAGTCAAATAGTGCATTTTTATTGTACTTGTTAAAACGTCTGCTTTGCTTGGAGCATACGAGAGACCAATTTAAATAAAAAATACAAATTTCCACAACGAGAAGCTCGTGTCTGACATATTATAAAGTTTTAACATTTTTTTTTTATAGTTTCTTATACGCCTGGTTGCTTACCAATAAAACTTAGGTTATTTTTTAAATTATTATTTTAGTGAGCAGCAAGTCCTTTCATTAAATTGATTCAAACTGCAGCTAACTGCGAAATTAATTGCAAAGCATTATTAGCATACATCGAAGTAACATTGCATAGCACTAAATATCAAAATGTTTTAATATATGAACGAACTTGTGCAGTTTTGGTCTGATGCAGGGTAAGTTTCGATACAGAGGGGCTATAAATTGATAACAGCCTGATATATTAGTGTTAGATGCTAATGGTCTCGCTATTATTCGAATGGGAAAATTTAACTGACTAATCGACCACTGGCGCCATCTGTAGGATGTATTTGACGCAGCGGTTATAGTTGTACGGTTGGGAAGTTGGTCGTGGGTTCGAGTAGTTTATTTATACTAACATTATAATGCTGAAGAGTTTGTTTGTTGACACGCGCAAAACTCGGCAACTACTGGATCGAGATGAAAAATGATTTTTGTGCTGGTTGGACAATTTATCGAGAAAGACTTTAGGCTATTAAGCATTAAGCCGCAAACCATAGGAGCGTAGAAACAGTGGGAAACGTGTAAAAACGGGGAAAATCATTCACCTTCGAGGGTCCGTTGCGTGCACTGCGAAAACGGTTCTAGATACCTAAAGGCTAATATCTGTCTATCTTTTAAGATTAACTTGCAAGAATCGTTTTATGGTTATGATATTTCTTTGAAATACTTCATATGGCAATGTACGTTTGCCCGGACAGCTAAAAATAAATTAGGCGAGTAGATATTTTTATTATCAACGGCTCCAGTATGTTTCTAATCGACTTATAATTTTCACGAATTACCGTCCACAGATGAAAAAGCTGTGAAGTTTAATCGCGTTTCAGTCTTTTGAATTCCCAAAGCTAAAATAGGCCGACAGCGCATCATGTTAAGATGTTATATAGGCTATTTCACCCATTATTGTCTGTCCTCTGCCATCATAAAAAAATCGTAAATAAAATCGCTAATACCGTCCGCAA